TTTTGTAATTTGCATTGGGTAAACAAATTTCAGAGACAAAACTTTTATTAACAAATAAATGAGCCAGAAAATAAGTAAATTTTTAAAAATTTTTATTTATTCTTGTAAAAAAAAAACATATATACAGTTTTACAGAATTACCACTGGAAGCGACATAAACCGATTTGTAGGGCTGTTAAATATAAGTTAGATCGAATTGCCGCAGACACTAAAGAGACAGACTTAAATTCGAATGGTAAAATTTCGGATATCTTGAGAGCGTTTGAAATACAGATCTAGGGTTGAAATCAATTTTAATTAATAATAAAATTATTAAAAATTATCATATTATTAACATTTTTGTAATAATCCTTTCACAACATTGAGCTGGAAATACTTTAGGTCAGCAGGTATGATTTTTTTTGAGTGCGTTCGAAACAAACATTCATAGTGATCTAATGCATCATTTAGTTTATTGCTGTTGATATCATACAATAAAACATTATCACAAACTTTTTTGTAGAAAATGAAACGAACTGTACTTTGTTACCGAATATAGCGAACGATTACTTTTCAGAAAGTATTGCTTCAAAGTGTAATAGATCTAATTTTGGTATTTTTTTTTTTGACTTTTCTAATTAACACAATTTGTTCTGTACCGAAGTTTTAGCTAACTTTTTGGCTCACTGCAGTCCGGTATATTTTTTATAATGATAATGCTCTTCCTTTTCATCATCTTATTTATAACTGTTAAAAAGTAATGTGATATCCATCTCATTTGGATCATAGAATTTCAGCAAAAATTACTCATTTACCCGTTAATTTATCATCAAAACGATTTTTGCATACAAGTTCAACAATAATTGATCATTCTACGAATTCTTTGTTTACAGTAACTTTTTTGTACCTTTCGTATTTAAGAGATTAGATTATAATAGTAGCTTAATTTTAAAACTATTAATCACACATTTCAGAAAATTAGTGTTTTTATGTAATTAAGCGATATATACTTGTAATACTTTGTTAAATATTCTCAATGCAACGCTAAATTTGAATTCGTTTTTTCTTCTGTGTAATCGTTTATGACGGAATAATTTTATTGATTACAGATCTCTTTATCAAATCATTTACAAAAATTGCTACTAAGTGGATTAGTATCAAACTGTAAGGAAGCAATAGCATTGCGCTGCAAAGTATGTTTGTATACAATATTTATGAGTACTGTCTTTAATTTTTTAGGTTTAATTGTTTTGTCTTACTGAGACTTTATCTGAATACGTTTTATTTTATTGCGTCTTTTTATTCAGAACACTGGAATTGAGGGGACTTCCAAAAAGTATTGGGATTTGTATCTTATTTAGGTAATTGCGAAGTATGTTGTTCAGTCTTTGAATGATTATGGTTGGGCCGTCGTTGATAATTTTCTTGATGAGAATAATAGTCGCAGTATATTCAGGTTTTTTATATTTTTTTCTAATTATATTACTTTTTAAAAAAACTACTAATTATATAAATTAAATACAAAATAACCGAGTTACATTTATAATTATTTTTTTAATTTTTGTAAGTACGTATTTTATTTTGTTGCAGAGAGATTGATGCTTTACATAAGAAAAAAATCTTTGAGCCAGGTCAGCTGATGAAAATAAAGGATAACTCAAACTCACGGAAAATACGATCAGATAACGTAAGTTAGATATTTCTTGTGTTTTGAAAGATATTGAGTTTATACTTATGATTGTTTTTTAATTCTTTGCTTTTATTCATTGTCTAATGATAACTTTTTAATATTGTTTTCAAGCATTTTTATTCGAGAAAAGAAAATCTTTTTGTAATTATATTCCATTTTTTTTACAATTACAATCTTCTATTGTTTTTGTTTTATTTATTTTTTAATTACAATTTTGTATTTTTGTAAATTCTGTGGAAAACTAGTTTTGAGCATTATTGTAAATGGTAATTTTTAAAATTTTGTATTCTATAAACTTTGAGTATTATTAGTTATTTGTATTAGCTGTGCCAAAAGTGGTAATTCTCATATTTCAGCGAAAACCGCCAAATATTAAGAAGGATAAATCTTGAGTAACTTTGAACTAGAAGTGTTTTCTAACTCTAACTCAATAGTATGCTTGTTACATGTTGCATGGATTCAGGTTATGATAATTTTTGTTGCAGAAAAGTAACAGTGGTGCTAGTTTTCAGATTTATTGGTTTGATAGCAGTGATAAGCATGTGGATGAAGTTGTAATGATTTCCTTACTTCTTTCAATGATTGATTCTATCGTTCTTTACTGTGATGGTTATATACCATACGAAATCGTTGGGAGATCGCGGGTAATGCTTTAGTGATTTACTTCTTCATAAGTTATTGAACTTTAACGAATACTTTTGTTTTCTTCTGTTAATGCTGGAATTATGTTCAAAAAACAATGCATAATATAAATAAAAACTTGATAAATTTAAATCAGAGTCAATTTATATTCATTCATTCGTTTTTTTTGTTTGTGTGCTTTTTTTGTTTTATGTAATATCTTTATCTTCTAAGTAATTTATTTAATGGTATAAATCTTAAATATGAATCTCAAATAATCTGTGAATCAAACTTTCCGTTAATCGGATTAATTTTAATTAAAAAATTTGT